CCCAACATAGGAGTTAATTCCAAATTTTATTTTAATTTGAAACGAATGTATAATTATTGACTAATTTATTATGGATACTTATGGTTAGTATTTGTTGTGAAAATTGTTGATATGACAAGATGAAATTTATTTTCAGAACTTGGATTTATATGTGAAGGTAAAAAAATATTTGAATATCGGAACGTACATCAGTAATTCGTTTATTACACCAATTTTTGTTTTTTATTGTTTTGTAGTATAAAAGCACCAATTTAATTTATAAAACTTATAAAATTTCAACCATAATTCAAATATTTTTGTATAGAAATTATCAAACAGGTATTGCAAACAATAATTGAACAAAATGCTGATGGTAAAAAAAATTAATAGTAAACAATAGTTTTTTATACTTTTGTTTACTACTATAATATACCATTATAATAATAATTTAGAGGTTTATTTTGAGAAGCCCTTAGAGGAAAATTTTCGATCAACTAGAATTGGCTACTTCTCTGATAGGTATTGTCCTGAGCAATTCCAGATAAATTCTCGGACATGATTTGAGATGTAGACAGAAAAGTTATGCGGTTTCAGAACAGATTCACTTGAAAAAAATCTAATTGAATAGTTTACTATAATTTTTATAGTAATACATATATGTATATAAATCTGTTCAATAAATATTCTGAAAATCCATACATCGTATCGGTTATATTATAAAAATTACAATCAATTTGATGATATTACTACATTTATCATGTTACAGCAAGTTGTTCAGATCTATTAAATATAAATTTCCATTTTTCGAGTCTGGTACGAAAAAATAAAAACAATAGATGATACCAGATGTCCAAGTACAGGGTTGAATATTATATATTAAGCGGTACTTATATTGAGTTAAGTATAGTCAGGAAGTTTGGATATTCTTTCCTCTCAATGATTCAAGTGATATAATAAATGGATTTGTATATTTTATGTATGGGGAGAAACATACATCGTGAACTAAATGCAAGTGGCACTTTGCCTTAAGGCAAGTTGCATAAACTTTTCGATACGTGTAATTAATCAACCTAATCAATAATAACTGGATTTCAACTGTTTAGATAAAATAAACAACTATTTATTTCAAAAATGCTTTTTATTATAAAAACGCACGATTATAAGCAGCCTGTCTTTGTTTGAATTTTAAAGGTAATTATATATGATATAATATAAATAATATATTTTAAACATTTTTTTTAAATCGTTTATTTGACAGAAGTTTCGACGTTCTCAAAACGGCTTTTAAAATCAATATCAATTCATAGTCCCGCTGCATTCTCTTTCATGTATTCCAGCTTCTACAAAATACACCGCCCGAATATTATTTCGCGTCGCCGATAAATGAAAATAAATCGAATCGACGTGCATTTTGCGAACGAATCCAATATTGAGCAGAACTGCTACTATATCGAGGATAAAAAAAAATACTGCAAAATAAAAATCAAAACAGCAGTTCTGCGCAGCAATAAATAAAGTGATCATCAACGCAACGCAAATAACACACGGAAACTGATATAGATCGAATTGGGGTAGTTTTTTTGTCTTATTGTCGTTGAACTATTTTAATTTAATGATTTCTACACAGTCAGTTTTCATGATATGTCATATTTCGTGATTTCATTCTGGTTTTCAATCGTATCGAGAAATATCTGCGTCGGGAAAAGTCTGTATTGATATTGTGGAATTTAACGTTCTTGGCATATATCTTTACATAAAACTACGTCAAGCTTCAGTTAAACATTTAATAATCCGTGATCTAATATAAAATAAAAATACCAATATAATTCTAATTTAATAATCTATTTCTAATATAATAATTTGATATTATTTAAGTACTTAAATCCATCGTATTTAAGAACAGTATTTCCTCGTAGACAATGTATTTTTCTCCTAGCTAACTGGTAAATTAACAAAAATATTGCTGATCAAAAAAAGTGACACAACCGTACACAGTCTTCCCTATACTCAAAATATATATCCAAAGACAATAATTGTTCTAACCTGTCAAAACACTAATCATTTTGAATCAAAAAATTAATGTATTATTTAATGATAACTTCAAACAAATATTGCACTAATAGCATATTACTCGATAACTTGGAGTACTCGGTGGAGCATAAAAAGTTCATTTTGTACCATCAATTCTTGCGAATAAAATCGTTTCAGTCATGTTTTTATTATATTTTTTTCCAATTACGAGCAACAACTTACACAGCATTTCTATCGTGTATCACAACTCTGACGTTATAAAGAAAACAACAATAATATCCAGCAAGCTTCGCATTTCTTCGTTTTCTTAAAAACAAATCAATACCTACACATACCCTAACACTTTACATTATCTTACATTTATTCCTTTACATATACGTAGACAAAACCTTTCCACGTATTTTGATATGATAAAATTTTAGTTCACTCATAAAGTTCTCGGTATACTTAGCTGTAATATTATTTACACAAGGGGATGAAGCAACGCCCTTGCCAATAGCGATAAGCTCGGAAGGGGTAGTTGGCAAGGCGTGACGAAGCTCGACCGAGACGTGAGAGGGGAGAGCGAAAGCTTCCGGGTGGAAAAAAACCGAGCTTTTGCGCGTGAAGAGATAACCGAGAAAAAGGAGAGATGAAGGCGCTCTGTTTGAAAATATTTTCATAAATTTGCACCGCGTGTCTGTATATAAAGATAAAATGATAGGAGACTACGTTAATTTACTTATGTTGTATGGAAAGCCTCTATTTTTTACTTATTATTCTCCTGTTGGTCACAGTTCATATTTTTGCTTTTTTCTTCTATGCTTCTATGACTTGTGCTTTGGTTTTCAATTCCCTAAATTTTTGCTTCTCTGTTTGTCACAATTTCTTGTCTAAAATGACATTCAAGTTTCCAGATACTTCTTGGTAGTCTTTCTACTACATTTGTCTTTTTTTTTGTAGTCTTGCTTCATTTGGAAATTCTTACAGCTTCATTATTTTTTACTAATAACTTGAGATTGATCTCACACCGAATACACATGGTTTTTCAGTAGTAGTACTTTTAGTAGAACTAAGTAGAAGTTTGGGAAACCACATTTTAAAGTTTGAATTTTTTACAATATTAATGTATTTGTTTTAAAGAATTTATTATAAAAAATTATTAATTTAATGATGGTAATCAAAACGCAAATGTAGCGCAAGTATTAAAAAATAAAACAAAATAAAATGTTAATTTATAGAAAATTCAAGGAATTATATATAAGCCAATTTTTTACGAATTAGCTGCTAAATAATCAAATAATATATAGATATCTTATAAAAAACCATTCAAACTAAAGCTTTTTCAAGTAGGATTTTTTGATGTTGAAAATATATAAGTATATGTATCTATATACATAATTTAAATATTTTTTTTTTATATCCTCATTTATAATATTATATTATTATATTCCCATATAAGTATATATTTATACATCGTATATTTGAATAAGACACTATCAGTTTAGCATTGCAACTACTCAAATTTTAGACAAATCCACTGTAAATAGCATGATACACTTAAAATATTTACATAAATCCAAAATTACATGTTATCATACTTTGTGTAAACATTATTTTCGTGATTTTATGATAAGTTGTTCTGACTAATTACGACATATATTAATAATTATTAAATTACTTTATGTATACTAAAAACAATTTGCATGAATAATATGAATCATTAAATTGTTATTCACAAAGGTAAATGATACTAATGTATAAATCAGGACAATTTAACACAAGAGATTTAGTTCCTAAATTTTCACGTATTTTGTGATCCATTGATTTAATATATTATGTAGATAACTAAAAATTATTTAAAAATCCATGAATTCACTTTAAATCATTTGCGAATAAATAAATTTAGTTCGCTATCAAACAAATTTTCACCACGTTTCTCAGTCATGTATCCATTATTATATATCATATGCATTATTTGGACATAACAACAGTGAAAATATATATTTATGTATGTTTATTCTAACAGCAAGATTTATCTTGTTGCATAGCTTTAGTGTGAAACTTTTTGTATAACCATTCGAAAACAATTTTATATTATTCTTACGCTCAAATCCGCACAAGAAATATACATGGTGCAAAAATTTCAATAAAAAAACTTATCCGTAAAGGCATTCAGATTTCAGTACTTGGAACATTTCCACTCCCCATCAAGCCCCTTCTTCCGACGAGCTTTTCGAGCTTTATCGTGATAGCAGGGCGGAGCTTTAAAAGCTCCGCCTGTCTACCGCCCAGCATCCCGATGTTACAAGTCTGCGGTGACCAGGCAAAATATTATTGTAAGTTTCAAAACAATTCTCAACCGTACTGATAGCATCAGGAGCAATCCGGGTCCCAAAAGCTTCATTTGCACTTTACTGATAAACAGCTTAAAAATTTGTGGCTCGTGTGTAAATTTTAGCGTTGTGTACTTTTTGATAACGAAATTTCTAATGTTTATATACGTAGTTCTGATTCTATGACAGTCATAACGTACAAAGAATTCGTGATTGAAGTATGTGTATAAAAATTGATTGATAATTAAACGTGGGAATGTTGAAAAAATAACAGTGCATATTTAAAGAACTAAATAAACGTTGATAAAGTGATTGTTGAACGATAAAATTTGATAAAAACATAGTTGAATAACTATTGCATTGTGGCATGGCATTAATGAGTTTATAGTCCAGAAATATTCTGACACTGCAAGCATTACCATATATGGTTAAACAATAATTTATATACTTAAACTTTAAAAATTTTCAAAAGTGATTTTATATTAATAAATCATATTATATCTTGTTTAAATAAATAATGTATAGTGAGTGCATATAATACAAAAACTATTGTTATATTTCAATAAAATTTCCACGTTCCAAATGATGTGTATCAGTCATTACGAAGATGAAGGTAGGAACAGTCCTACTCCTAGGCGTCCCCTTCGAGAAGATCTTCCGTCGGATCTACCACTGGATCTCCGATCAGACTTAGAACCATCCAATTCTTCAAACATAGCATCTGATCTTCCCATGTCTCCCGAAGACAGTCATCAAGACTTATCTGGTCCAGATGTAGAACCTGCCTCAGGAACATCTTCAAATTCAACTTCTGCTACTGTTAAACCGCCATATTCATACATAGCTCTGATAACGATGGCAATTCTGCAGTCACCTCATAAGAAATTGACACTGAGTGACATATGTGAATTTATAATGTCAAGGTTTCCGTATTATCGAGAAAAGTTTCCAGCTTGGCAGAATTCTATCAGGCACAATCTCAGCCTGAATGATTGTTTCGTCAAAGTACCGAGAGAACCTGGCAATCCAGGTCAGTGCGGAAGTAAGAAATAGTAGATTTCCACAATTATTTAATGATTTGAACATTATTAATATTTGATTATAAACAAATTTTAATCATTTTTTATTTCTATTAAAAAATGTTATTATTTTTTCTTCTATACAAACTATTCTTTCTTTCTATGTAATAATAGCTCAAGATTCATAAGATATTATTGTTGTTTTCTTGATTGTTATTTTCAAAAAAAAAAATTGAATTACAATCAGCCCATATAAAGTCTTTGTACTTTCAGTATTTGTTTTGACATCTTAATTGTACCTATAGCCTGTTTGGTAGGCAAGCCAGTAGTTATCCTCTCTTTGTGTTTTTTTTATTTTATATTATTCATATGCACTCCACAAAATGCGATTTTCACTTTAGATTATATTTGAAAATTATAACCTCAAGTTGAAATTTGATATAACGCTGTCTGATATCGAGCTGACCAAGGTTCAAACTAGGGACTAATTTATGCTAGCATAAGTCTTTAATTGTTTACACTATGTACTCTATTTTTATTTTTCACTTGAAAAATATTTATGACTACTTGCTTGTATTAAATTTAAATTAACTAAAAAATTCCCCATTATTTTGTTTATTTCAATATACGCCAGGTACTCTACAGCTCATATATTTGATAAAATTATTATTATTCTGTAAAAACACGTATTTGAAAACTTTGCTTACTGGATAAGGTATCACGATGAGTCACAATGATCACAAAGATACATCTAATTAGAAAACTTCAATTTTACCTAAACGATTTATACACTCATGTATCTTATATGGCACAATAATCTTTCTATTTGATCAAAATTGATCTGTAATTAATTAATCGCATCGCATATCTTCTAATGCAGAAATTCGTACCGATTTTTTGCAAACGATATAAAATTCGTAATTATCAATTCAATCGTAATGAAAACCTTTGAACCGCAGAATGACCGAAAATAAAACCATTTCCACCGCAGCAAAAAAGATCTGTCGACTCCGCCGTATTTTAATTAAACACTTTGGTCGACGATTTCATGAAATAGTTCGCAGGATTAACGGGAGTACTACCCTTACTACCCTCTTCTCTTTTTTGGTTACCCTGCATGTCTAGCCCTTCAAAATTCCACTTGTGACTAATGAAATCTGCGAAGGCGTTTTCCGGTATAATTTTAATGGAACATTTCGGACCTTTACCGAAATTGGTAAATCATTATATGTAAATTAATTTTAAGAGAGATATTTGGATAGTGATTAAAAATTCATGAGAAATCTTGTGGTAATTAAATTTTAATTAATTTTAATTTGTTTCAGCAATAGCAAATATTTGTAATAATGATTTTGAAATTTTATGTGAAATTATCCATTTATAATTTAATACGACCAAAAGAACTAACAACAAAATAAAATATCTACTTCTGTCATGAATGTTTAAACATTTACGTTTATCCAGCAACAACAACGTCGTAAAATTTTCTTTTAAATATTGTTGTTAAAAAATCGTAACTTTACTAAATTTTAAGATTTTGAGATCTTTTTACCCGCAGACCTTTAAGCTCCACTCTATCCTATATACTATTAGGAAGCACAAATTTAAGCTTCTTGAATAATATGTCCTATCCAAAAATGCATAAAAATTAAACTCAACATATGGGCAATTTTAGACAATATTTGAGCCATAAATCTAAATAATCTTTAACAAATTCACAACATCCATGAAAGTTCATGCAAACCGCGTATGTTAATAAAACTTAATCCTTCCTGGCTCATCGTTCGCAGGAATTCATCTGTCTATACAAATAGTTTTATCGCCTTCGCATATGTTGTGACACAATCATTTCCAACAGCCCCCGAATGTAATTTTGGGCCCTAATCTCGCGCCCTTCCCAGGTTAAACGATAGGGTGTCATTTTATATTGCTTTAGATGATCTAAATATTGTCTGAGGCATTGTCGCGGACACAAAGAGAAGGGCTGGTCGATTGATTTGCAGTTGATAATAATCATCAAAGGATTAGCAGGTCGCTGGAAGTGTTATATTAAATTTTTGACGCCGTGTGCTAAATGTTAATAAACGCCGGATCGTGTGATGACTGCGAGATGGAGATGGTATCGATTATATATATTTGGGTTTTGATACAGCAATATACACAAGAATAATATAAAAAGATCAATGCCGAATATTAAATCAATACGAGCCTAAAGTAGAATCAAATCAAGAATACATTATTGATTCCTTGATCGATTTTTTTAGCGATTGACGAAATACCAGATCAAGGTTGAATACAGTGTTATCTCTTTAAAAAATGTACTCATGAAACTTGTATTTTGCATTAGTTAAATAATGTATATATTATTTCGTAAAATTTCCTCAAAATGAAGATTAAGATTAAGATATTGGACATGTTTGCCCCTTGGCCGTCCCATTTTACCCCGCTCATGGAACAGGTGACATATTTTTGAAAAATGGCAATAAAATAGTATAAATACACATTTCTATAATGATGAATTAACTGGAAGTTTGTTTGAGCATAGTCAGATAGTTGTTTGTTTGTCATGTGTTGTTTGTTGTGATTTAACTCGTTTAGTTCACACAATATAATTTCTCAAAATCAAATTGAACTTTTGTACCCCGCTCTACTCTATTTGTATATACATATTATAAGATACACAAATATATATATATCTATATATATATATATATATATATATATATATATATATATACCTTATGATCTATGTTAAAAGTCATTACAAATAATTAAAAGCCACTTACAGTTGTAGTATTTTGCATCAATGATGTACTGTACACTTGTTGCTCTAACAAGGTGTCCCAGAACTCAATGTCAAGCCAAAACAGGGTGATCGGTTTGACTGTAACTGCCCTGGAAAAAATAAAAAAAATATTTCACATTTTTTGGAAATGATGAGCTTTTAAATGTAACCTAGACCTTGGGTGAAATTGTGACTGTTTTAAAGTTATTGCGGTTCATTTTTATATTGCCTGTTCATTCTAACTATTTTAAACTTTGGAATCGTAACCGTGAATTATATTTCTAGGAGGTCAGGCAAAACTAATTACAGATATGCTCTAGAATGAATTATTCTATCAAACTCTATTTTATTATTTTAAACTTAGTACCATTTTAATACAATTTTTCTATTTCTCTTCAACCATCAGGTAAGGGCAACTATTGGACCCTAGACCCTCTCGCCGAAGACATGTTCGACAACGGCTCTTTCTTGCGCCGCAGAAAGCGCTACAAACGTCCTCCAGTCGGTGGTGGAAATTGCATAGGTCCTTCTCACCTCAGTTTTCTGGAACCATACCCAGTTCCACCTTTACAATACCATCCCGTATATTCCCCTTATTTACCAATTTTACCACTTTGCTATAGTTCCACTTTAATCAAACCTGTTCCTTTGAATGCCAATGGCACACCAGCTCCAAGTGGAGATACCGCTCATTATTTGAATTCAAGAAGAAGAGTTGGATTTAGCATCGAAAGTCTAATTGGATCTCAAGCAGAATCCACAAGGAGCAGTAGTAAGAGGAGCGTTTCTGCGTTTTCTCCAATGAGTGGTACTGATCCAGAGTGGAGTTGAGATCAACAGACAAGGTTTATGCAGAGATTTTATGAGTGATAGTTGAAGATATTGATTAGAACGTTCTCGATATTGTAGTTAACGTTAAAAAAATTGTTTGTGCAAGATTAAATTGCAATGCGACTCGAGGAAAGTTGTTTGGCTTAACAGTGATATAATCGAATGATATAGACTAGAAGGTATCCAAAATTTACGAAATAAATTTTGGACCAGGATTCAAAGGTCATAAATATAAAAACTATTTGTGAATATATTTACTGTATTTCTCAAGCATTCAATAGTTGAATTAAATAATTGTTAGTATCAACAATCACACATACCAATTATAAAAACTTGCCCAGAATTATTTAAACCCATGTTTTTATTTTTGATTATTATATATTGTTTGTGTAATATTTGTTCTATATTTTAAATCTTAAATATTAAAAAAACATAATTTAACAAAAACTAAGCAGATTTAAGTTTATTTTATAAATAACAATAAGAATTCTACTAAAATGTTAACTAATCTAGAATTATGGCCACAAGAAAGCTAGATTGGAAAGCCATATTTTTTCCAAATACTCGATCTTCAAATTTTAGATTATTATATTTATATTCCATATTTATCTATTTTGCTCTTGATCTTTTTTCATAAGTTTAAACAAAATGATGACTAATAAAGAATAAAATATCAAATATATTAATTAGGTAATTTGAAGAATGAACATCTATTGCTATACTCATTTCTAATCATATCACTTCAATCGACCAAAAGTTGTAGAATCGATCTTCATAAATTAATAATAACGATATAAAATATAAAGACTCATAAATATAATTACTTATAGAATTATTGATTTTTATTGTCTACATATTATTAACCAATTGTACTATTTTATTGCTGGTATTAATTTCTAGCCACGATATTACTTAGTATGTATATATTATATAAATATGTATATTAAAAAGATATGATAGAATATTGTAAATTGAATAAATTTTTCTCATATATATTAACTGATTATTCGATAAATATGTTCTATCACCTGTATCAAATATCCGTCTATTATAGTTAAAACGAATGTGAAATATTTTTTCGAGTGTATATATGCAAAATTATATATTTCTAGTCATATAGTATCAAAATTAACCAATAAATTCCATCGCTGTATGGAATTATTTCTCCACTATATTTAAAAACTATAAATGCTTTTATTTATATTAAATATAAATATATTAAAATGTAAATATTATTAAAATAATTTCAATGTAAAATATCAAAGAATTAATATTACGTACTATACTAGACTATTGTATTAAAATTTAAATAGAATAATACAATGCATTGATGTTGCCTAATATTGTATTCCCATTTATGTTATGTATCAAATGTGAAATAAAATGAATAAAAAATATTGAACACTTTATCCCTTTCAAATAGTTGTATCTTGAAATACATGTAACCAGTGCTGGATTACCCCATAGGCCCGTGAGGCCCGGGCCTAGGGCGGCACAATTTGGGGGGCGGCAAATTTTTCCGATTTTTTTTTGTCACGGCAATTTATTTTAAGGATTGATCTTGATCTAGATAATTCTCTTCTATATATAAAAACGCACAAATCAATAAGACGCAAATACAAGCAAAAACGTATTTAATACAAATAATACTTCACAATCAAATCAAATATATGAATCGGAATCAGTAATAATTTCGACCATCTCGCCACGAAGGTTGAATTATGACTGATTGTGAGGTACAATAAAATTTCTGTATTGCACCCTCTATGGTTCCGAACCCGAAACTATTCAATTAGATAACAATTTTTGAATGTTAGTGTCATCTGGTAACAATTCATAGTTTTGTCCCTTTCTGACCCTAATATAAGAGATGCGTAATTTCCAACTAAAATCATTCTGTATTTGGACCTCTCGGCGGACACTACTCGGTGGTCAGTGGTAAGTCTTTTAAAAAATATTTATGTATTTATGTAATCATTTCATGCATTCAGTTTCAAATACGTGTCATGGGACTTGTGTTTTGGTTGATTCGATGTGACTTGATTTTCTGTTGAATTCTAATATAAGAATGTGATAAATTGAAGTAAAATTCGTTTTTCTTAATATTAAACCATTTGCGTTACATTTCATGCATTCAGTTTCAAATACGTGTCATGGGACTTGTGTTTTGGTTGATTCGATGTGACTTGATTTTCTGTTGAATTATAATCATAAGAATGTGAATAAATTGAAGTAAAAATTCGTTTCTTTAATATTAAACCATTTGCGTTACATTTTCTAATTCAATATATTTGTGCTGAAGTGTCGCCTTAGTGTTTATTGTTGTGAAAATATTTAATTTTAGCCTTTGAGTTAACATAAATAATTTAATGCAATCTTTAGATTATTAAATTTAACTATAATTAAATAATATTAAATTTAATATAAATGTTATGTTTCAGATATTTACGATTGACTACATTTGTTTTGTTTCAGATTTCATACAGTGTTTTGCGCAGTGGCGGATTGCTTTAGGGATTTATTGTGCATGAATTTTTTTATTCAATCACATTTACAATTTTTAATTATTTTTTATAATTTTGAGTTATTTGCGTCCACATTTAAATTTTTTTGTTCGTGCGAGGACTTATTCGTAATTTTAATATCGTTTGAAACGATATCCGCGTTTAAATGTGTTCCTGTCGCCTACCCCCCACGGCAGGTTCTAGTAATTCGCGTTTCGTTAATAAATTAATTTTTTTCAATCGGTGTGTGGATCCTTGCGATGTTTTTCCCAGAAGCAACGCAACCCCATACACTTTAATTTCTAATTAGTATTATATGTACAATGCCTAATTTTTTAGAATTATTTTATTAGTCGCATGGATGTAAATAACTAGTTTAAAAATCTAAAAACTTTGCTAAATAAATTACTTGTTTTTATTTTGACTGATTTTTCTGCTCCAATGCAATGAATATGTTTTAATTAAATAATTTAAATTTTTTGTGATTGCACAATAAGTCTCCTAAACGGAGAAATGTTGAAGACGTATTGTTTGAAGTTAAAAAAAAAAGGTAAGATGATACAAAACCCTAAATTATGTAAAAAATAACAAAATTGACATTTATTTTAGTGTTAATGGGCCTCGACTAAATATACCACGAGGTTGAATACTACAACAACGAACAGGAGAACATGTGTACCTATATGATGTACCAGAGCACTGGAATAAATACGAGTAGGCTACCACATTCAGGGTTGCAGAATTAATTTCTCACCGCGACGGCAAGCACCAGGACTGCTAGGAGATTGTGGTGGATTAAAAAGGTTGAAGGTACCCTTTTTGGGGTGCAATGACTGCTACTTGGTACATCTTAGCATTGCGTTTACCAATATACAGGGTTTACCTTGGAGCCCCAATCTGACTTTTAATAAAAATCGGTAATTATCTGTAGAGTGCGTAACTAACTACACGAATGAAACAGAATCTATACTTATTAATTTATTTAATGTTACCTAGTTGTGTTCGTCGTAGGTGCGAAGATATGACCGTATTTTGTAGTCATGTCTTAAGTCTAAATTCTGATATACTATTGTTTTGGTTGATCAAAAAGCTTGAAATTATAGATGTGTATGATACGGCGTGATGACAAAGGGGATCGCATACAATCGGAGAACCGTCAATTTTTCTGGATTGTGTGTTCTTCGCCCATGGAACAACACACGCACCACTATACACTAATTGTGCACTTTCGACTCGATTGACTACCTCTGAGGACTGATACTTAAAAAGTGATTGCGTCTTTGTAACGACAGCATACAATGTTTCCAAAGTGTTGCACAACCTTTAGTGCAAACTACATCCGCCGCCGCCCGCCTATATGGTTCCTGTCGTATGTGGTCCAGATTCGCGATAAAGACTACATACATCATTTTCAAGGAGTTTCTAAACTCCTAAACTAAATCCCCACCTGCCTATAAGGCTCCTATCGTATGAGGTCCGGAGTCGCGATCGTTTTTCAGTATCAGTCATCTCAGGTGGTCAATTCAATACGGAGGACACAAGTTAGTGCATTAGTGATGGTTGTGTTGTTGTGCCAGGCAAAAAGAACACGATCTAGAAAAATCCGATCGAGTTTTCCGATTTTAAGCATTCCCCTGCGTAATTACGCCGTTCTATACATTTTTAATCATTTCTAGCTTTATCATTAGCCCATCGTTAGTACATTCGAATTTAGGCTTAATGCATCACTATACATAAGTGCGGTCAACGTCTCGGATCTGTACACATAACTCGGTAACAATCAATAAGTTGGTAAGTAGATTCTGTTTTAATTGTATAGTTAGTTAAAATCTCTACTGGTAACTGCAGGTTTTGTTGAGTCGAATTAGGGCGCTAAGGTAAACCTTCATATTGGGGAGTGAGATGCTAAACATACCAAATAGCAATCTTTACACTCTAAACAAGAGTACCTTAACCCTTTCAGTTCACCTCAATATGGATACCTACAGGTTTCTCGTATTCATAAGTTAAATTAAGTAATTAGACCTTGGTTGGTAGATATAAGTATATGAATTTTTATTTTTGTTACCGGGGCCCCGTTTGTATGTTTGCCTCTATTTTTAGGGGCACTTGTTGTGTTTTTTTTTATGTCATTTCAGATGTCTTTCCAAGAAAATTGCTTACCAAATGAGTACCAAGAACTACTTCCACAACCCATAGGAGACATTGATCAGACTAATTGATGTATCAAGATACTAAAATTGTTGGCATACTGCTAACTTTCATTTCAGATGTCTTTCAAAGAACACATTGTATTGTATGTCTATATGTTTTACCAAGATATACACGAACCACCAAGAGACCACTACCGATTTAAAGGATATGTGCAAGTGGGTACCAACAATTAGTTCTGCAACCATACGAATAAATGTAATTGAAATCTATGTTTACCTCTTTTTAGGCTTGCACGAGATTTGGCAGAAAATATCATCAACTCGAAACCAACTAGGCACCACTATACCTGAACTACCGCCTACAACTGAATCGGATGATATGACATAATCGAAAGGAAAATTAACTGTGAGATAAGACTTTCTATTATCATAGTAGTATTTAGTTAATATCAGTAGGTTGGGGACGTTTTCGACATTAAAATCTTCGGCCGTTTCATAGGCTGGGAACCTATGAAGTTTTTTTTAAGTGTTTACATGGTGGATCTGGGGGGTACATCATGTAAATGCTCTTTTTTTTTATAAATTTACAATCACCGCTAAAATACTAAAGTTACACATTTTATATTGATTTTTTTCTTTACCACGAGAGGTTCTTTCATTTTTAAAAACCGAAATTTTTGGGTACATTAGGTCATTTCGCGGGGTTCTTCTATTCGCGATATATTCGGGTCAGTTAGGCATAATTAGTTTGTAAGTTAGTTTAAGTGGATTAGGGCTGCACAAATCGATACTTAGTAGTATTTACACTATACCCATTTCCATCTGAAATGTTAGAAACGTAAATATGAATAAAAGTATCTATTTCTGTGGCGACACCACATTAAAAAAAACGCGCCTGGCAACTCTACCCCATGGGTGGTGAGGAAAAGAGTTGCATCCTAATTAAGTACATATAATTATCAAAATTAAAATATTTAAATAATTATGTTAATTAATAAACATAAATGTGTCAATATATGTGTCAAAATATCTTAAAATAAAATTTTTGCAAAATAATCTTTGCTTTTTAATATACGGTTAATGTTATTTTTAAATTTTTTTTCAGAACTTCATAAAGAATTATTAGATGCTTTCAGAAAGAATATTGTCAATAATTATTAGTTTTGAATTAGTTGAAAAAAGACTATAAATACTATAAATACTACAATGCGAAGAGTTATATGGTTTTTGATAAAATATATTTTATCTCTTTGCATTGTAGTATTTTTTCAACCTCTAATTCAAAATCGATCACTATTATTCTTTTTAAAAGCATCTAATAATTCTTCAGAATATGTGAGATTTAAAACTTTAGTCAGAATTAAAAACAAAATTTGAATTATTTTCGATATAAACAAAAAGAATTTTTTGAAAAAAATTTGAAACAAAATTTTTTTTTCAAAATTACTTATTTTGTTGAAATAAGTAGAAAGTTCTTTGAATCATTCAAATCGGACGCTTAGTTCTCTCAAAAACTGCCATTTTTTGCACATTTAGCTGGGTGTCTCCGTAACGGCTAGACCTGCCTTTGCCAGAAGCTAATTACCACTTCTCCCCATCATTACAAATTGAATGTTTTTTAGATCATTCAAATTGGATGCTCCGTTTTCTCAAAAACTCGACTTCTATTTTCTGCACTTTTTGCTCCGAAACTTCGAAATTACTATTTAAAATTACTACAACTTACCCAACGCAAAGTTAAAAATTATATCTAAATAATTCAAAATAAATTGTTTATTTAAAAAAGTAAAATTTTGTCTATTAAAAAGGGCGCCAGAACGGATAGGGCCTAGGGCGGCAGAAAGCTTAATCCGCCACTGCATGTAACAAAAAATGCAGTTAGTTATTTCTTAATATTAGGATAAGCAAGCATTCCGCTGAAGAAAGACTAAGACTAAATTTAAAAAAAAGATCATATGATTTAGTGATTTTATTCTTGATTATTAGATTCGTTTGATTAGATCATCTTCATACATATGTTAGCATCAAATTCGAATATATTTATATTGAATCTTGGAAGCAAACCGTACTAGTAATATAATAATCTAATAAAAGATGGAATCATTGATCCAAAAGACATTGAAATTAATTATTGATGATTACTACACCATGAACGAACTCAGTGGCACACTTTCGCTTCTACAATTAGACAACCAACCAGTAACATTCCAATAAGATAAAAAAGATATAACTCACTGTCAGTATACTTTTACATCTCGGTACAATGACATCTTTATCGTATAAAACAGCCGATCTGCCAAGCTTTGAGAAATTAAAGCAATATTTTGTAAAAAATGAATTTGATTTGTTCAAAGTCTATAAGGAAGGAGAAACCAGCGGTAAGAATGTCTGCGTGCTGACAGAATCCTTCCCAAAAATGGCAAACAGGATCAGGAATTTTGAAGTTAAGAAGGATGATGCATGGGTGCTCACTTACCCAAAATGTGGTAAGTAAATGAATTATGAAAAAATGTTAAATAATTTTATTTTAACTTATAAAACGTAATACGACCAAAACAATTTTAAGTGCATTCAAAATTAGTAAAAAAAATCATACTCTTAGTTCATAATTTATATATATTATATGCTGATGTAGAAATAGTATCAAGCTTAGAATGCAAGATTAGATCCAAAATTTCACCTTAAATATTTAAAATATTTTTGTGATGTGCATGAATATAATTTTTTTTTCAATATTTCAACAATACAAGGAATAAATAAAATAATAACTTTGAATCAAATTATACAAAAAAACTCAATTTTTAAGCACAATTTTTACGAATAAAACTCCTAAGTAGCTTAAATCTTTAGCCTAACTATTACAAAATTATAATATTTCGAATATACATTTTATTAATGTCGAATAATAAAAACTATATTTGGTTTTCATGAAAAATTATTTCTGAACAATTTAAGAAATATTTTCATACAAAATATAAACTAAGCTAGTACGTATATGCATATTTAAATTTGATTTTTATGCTTGATAAAATTATCTCTCCATATCGATAAATTAATCGTCAATTAAATGTCATGAAATTATAAATATTAAACACTCATTTGCAATGAAAATTTTGCAGAGTGTATTCCATATTATAAAATTATTTAGAAATTCTTGAACAATCGTATGATATGATTGAAACAATAAAAATTTTATGTCATTGAACGATTCATATCTCTTGTTTATAGAATTAAATGTTTGCTAAACAATTCAAATATGTTAAATTAAACAAAATTAAAACTGAACGTAATTAAAACGAAAAAAGAATGTAAAACTAAAATTTATACTATTAAAATTAATTAATAAATATAACTGTTTTAAATTAGAAAAATATTAAGTAAGAGTTAATCAATTTTCCTCAAAAAACACATCAAAATTGCATTATTACAAAATGCATCTCTTCTGCTAAGGTCGTTGATTAGATATACTCTACACTGCACTAATTGAGTTTTATTAAATTAGATTATTATTATAATTAGATTATTATTTTTTATAAAATAATAATATGGCATGTTTTGTTAGCAATTTTTACTGCATTAGATAAGAATTTGCATTGGATTACATTAGTATTATAGTTATCCATTATCTTTTACAGGAACAACTTGGACCGAAGAAATTGTATGGCTTCTAAGAAACGACTTGAATTTCGAAAAAGCTTTAAAAATTCGACAAGCCGACAGATCAATTTTTATAGAAGAAGGATTGTTCATGGGTGAAGGAATGGCTCTGATGCCAGTTGAACAAGCTGAAAATTTACCATCTCCAAGACAAATAAAAAGCCACTTGCCAATTGCACTTCTCCCAAAGGAATTGATGGAAGTTAAACCAAAAGTATATAATACTTGATACATTATTATAAATTTTACTGATTTTGCTGTTAGCTTTCAGGTCCTCCTCTTCTCTATATTCCTACTTTTAATATTTTTTATTCTAATTATGATTAGTATCTTGGACCATTCTTTGATCATTGATGTTGATTTTGTTTTCTTATTTTCTGAATACTCAAATCGTTTTAAAAGTAATATAAATGAATAATTTCATAGATATATTTTAATCCAATTTTAACTTTCAGATAATATATGTAGTAAGAGATCCTCGTGATGTAGTGGTTTCTTACTATCATCATTATCGTATAATTGCTGGATTTACTGGTCCTTTAGATGAGTTTGTAGACGCTTTTGTGGAAGATTCACGTAAGAAATTTATATTTTCATATAAAATTTTATTATAAGTAAATTACCCATACTGACAAACCCTATTCAATTAAATTTTTCTAACCCATTTTATCTCGACATTAATTAAAAAATCGTTAAAGGTTACTCAAATTTCTTTTTATTGTGCATTATTTTTTAGTATATTTTTCAAAACAGAATTATAATTGAGCAAAATCAAATTAAAATATATTTATATTATATTTGATCATTCATTTATTGTTGAGTTCAAATTATAGCCGACGATTTTGCAATAAACAGTTAATATATAAATATAAAATTATGTTAATTATTATTGTAAAAAATATATATTGATAGTTTTAATAATTTAAAATTTCATTAATTGTTGCTAGTTTGCTATTCTCCATATTGGGAAACAATTCTAGAATTTTGGGATTTAAGACACGAAGACCACATATTATTTTTAACCTACGAAGATATGAAAAAGGTACACTAGCTTTTCCAATAAAATTATGCAACGAATAGTGATAAATTCAAATAACGGTTTATATGTAATTTCAGAATCTTAGATCTGTTATTGATAAATTATGCGATTTTTTTGGAAAATCATATTCCGATGAACAAATAGCAGCATTAGAAGATCATGTATCATTCAATTCAATGAAGAATAATCCACAAGTCAACAAGGTAACATTTGAAGAACTTTTTCAAAATTAAATTCAGAGCTAAAATTAATATTATTTTCATTTTAGCAAGATATTATTGATTTACGAGCAAAGCACATAGGGTTTGAACCTCCAAAAGACGTTAAATTTATAAGACAAGGACAAGCTGGTGGTTGGAAAAATGAACTTTCGGAAGAATCCAGGAGAAAAATTGAGCAATGGTCAAGGAACGCTTTGAAAAATACAGATTATCCACCATTAGAAGATATGCTAGATGAGTAGAAGAAATTGTGATTTATAGAGAGATTATATTATGTTATATTTTTTATATTTTGAAAATTGGTTTTTTTTCCATGGAGATGCAGTATTTTAATTTATAAGATTATATAATTTAAAATAAATAAAAAAATTAAATTAAGTGAAAATTGCATGCATGAAGTCACGCTAGAATAACTAACCACAAATTATTCTTTGATTTTCATTTTGGGAATAAAAACTAGAAATAATTGCTGGAAGACCAAAGTTTACCACAGGCTTGATAATGATATATTACAAACATTTTTTCTAACATATTTTGTAAACATGATTTTTATTTAACCGCAATATCTTTTAAAACCAAAAAAAATCGGGGTAATAAAAATCAATCATGATTATCTAGTAGAAAATCCGTGCCTACTCCTAAATAAAATAAATAAAAGATATCTACCCCCGGATAGATTACTCTCATCGAAGTGATTCAACGGAGCAAATTGGCTGTAACACAGTGGTTCGATTCCCGCTGGGCTCATGGGCCGTGCATTCGAAATCCTGTCAAGCTAAGGGAGTTATTCGAGCGATTCATGAGGCCTTTTGATTATATAATATTGTACACTGATACACGAATATACAAATGTATATAAATATTTTGAAACACGTATGACATTTATACAACACACACATGAATTATTCACACAATTATCCAACTACTCCCAAGAAACAGATTCTTTATTTTATTTGTTACCTATTCTGGGCAGGCATTTTAACAATATGCAGAAAAACAAAAACATTTTGATTAAATATTAGAAGACCCAGCAAAGTATTCACCGGGAATACCAATATATTTCAACATAAATATATATCCGCTGATAAAATAGGTATGTTATTCAAATGCTATGATTGAAATGTTATGCACAGCAAATTCTTAGCTTTTTGACAGTTCGTTACTTCCATACGAATGTAGATCCTTAAAACAGCATTACCATAACCCCGACGTGGTTATCAAAAGTAACGTTGGGTTTTTGTTGAAGAAACAGATATCAGTATGTTTCCAAGATAAAGTTCTAACTAGCGGGGCGCATGGCATCGTGCCTTAAGCAAATTGCTGGAACTTCCGTTCAGTAATTAAACATTCAGAGAATAAAAATAAAATATATTATATATACCCATAATTCAATCAATCATGCCATTTCCCAAAAAATCGCCGGACAACCCGCTGAGCTGTCGAACAGCGAATGGATTTGCTGGAATTGCCTGCCGAAACGCGCAGGCATCGAATTTCGTTCGCAAGCCGCAGCGAACGGATAATCCGTGTAGGCATTGTCACGCAATCGAGCGTACTTCTCGGCGACGGAAATTAAACTACAATTAAACCATGATATACACGAAACAGACAATGAATAAATCTACGAACATTATAAAGGATATACATTCTGCTACCAACGGATCGAGGATATTAATGAATATATAAAAAAGGTAAATAGAAATAAATCTATCTGTATAAATCTGTATGTAATGTATGTCTACATATACATCGATCAATCGATCGAGACCACTTGAACCTCGACCACTTTCGCAATTACAATTCTTTTGCATAAATATTTTAATTTTATTTACATTTTTGTTAAACCAGTATCATTAATAACTTCCCGCAGTGTGAGTTATAATAAACGTAAAAAAATCAAACATGACATTTTTTGCACATTTTTATATTTCAAAGTTTTCTGAAAATTATTTACCTTTGACTTCAATTCAGTAACACATATCACTACATTTTTTTAAACTTGTAACTGTACTTCACATTCAAATATTACACTTCACCCAACTGCATATATTTCACAACAGATCATCGTAAAATGTTACCCGCACAAAGGTAGACAAAACACTGAGGATTCGGCAAATTGTTTATTTTATGATAGGTGTATATATCGAATTATGAGAAAAAATGACTGCTATAGCTTTGAGAGTGTATACTAAGAATGTTTAGACAGAAGACATAATGTTCTATGCTAAATTACGTAACATTTTAAAGTAACACATACTAATTGAGAATATAATAAATAAAGAATGAATAATTTTTTCTTAATCAATTATATTTTTCGAAAACCCAGGACAAAAATCAAAATACGGGATAAAATATATCTTTTATAAAATTCGGTACTGTCCCGGCCAACCCGGGCCGCATGGTCACCTTAGTAGTATGCATATAATCAATGATTTATATAAATGATTCGGTAGGAATCGTTGGATAGTCGAATGTAATTCAAAGACACGAGAATCAAAAGCATTTGTTATCAGAACAATACCTTGCTTATGTTTTTGCATTTATTCGAGTTATCGCCGGGAGAGTATAAACAAATCGACTTCATGAATCGTGAATTGCTGGACGTTCTAGTTCTAAAACAAATATGCATTGTGCATTTGTTATAAAACCATAGTTTTTTTTATTACATTCTTAATCTGTCTTTAACATTCAGTGATTTTGAGTAAATTGTGTATTTAAATGTGTAAAGTATTGTGTATATAAATTATCCAATTAAAGTTTTGGAAAGTTACCCAGTAGTAAGCCTTTTTAATTGTAATAAATTAAGTTAAATTGTGCTCTCATAAGAAGTAAAATTAAAATAATTAAGTATAAATAAAATAAATACTAAATTGAAAATATAAATAATTATAATCAGAATAAATATTTGTGAAGTTTAGTGTTGTTAGTGTTCTAATCCATCAAGAGGGCGCTCTCTTTTGAGGCGTCCATTGCTGTTTCAGAGCTCTAGGTATGTTCTACCATTTTTATTTATAACATTGATTGTATTTTTTTAAGAGCAATCATAATTCTATAACAGAGCAAATATTTATTGATGCAGCAATGCCGGATAAGAGTAATTTTCACTTGGAAACATATTGTTATCTATATTTCCAAGTGAAAACTTTTGTCACTACTGCTCGAAGCGGAATCGAAACCGGTGACCTCTGATTTTGGTCCAGTCGTTCTAGCAACTTACTTAAGAGCGAGCCAATTAACTGTACAATTATTTTTTATGTACATTTAAATTGATATAAGTAACTTACTTGAATAGTAAGCTTCTGGCTTTTTAAAGTGAATCCTAGATTCAAACCCAGGTTTCCGACGACTTGAGTTCAATCAGTAGTGATATCCATTTCCACTTGAAAATATAGATGAATATATGTTTTCAAGTGGAAAAGCCAAAAACTGATAGAGTGTATATTTAATATAGATTTGACAACAGTTAAATTGCCTTTTTCAAAAGCCACATTATTAAGAAGTATCATCACAACAGATCCTAGTTCAGATTGTTCAAAATAAAAAAAAAAAGAAAATGTATCCATGCTAAAAATGTTTTTGCCAGAGTAGTTCCACCAAGTTATTTATATATTTGCACTATATTGTTACAGTGCAATGACAACAACAAAAAAAGTTTTAGACAAATTTCTGGAGGGGCTGTAAACAATCCAAATGTATTCAAAATCCCTATTGTTTTACCAACTTGTATGCAGCAATTGAGATATTCAACAATCGAATTTACAATTGTATGTACCCCAAGTTAGTGAATAAGTACCAAACCGTTTCTGAATTGCGTATATTCTAAATCGAATTAGTTCAACGTAGAATCAAGTTAGCGTTCACTGCAGCATTATTATTCAATTGAATCAGGCAGTCATATTGGTTTCGGATGAGTCCCATCCAAACTACACCTCTTCAACGATATGTGAATGTGAGCGATTCGAGCGAAGAAAGGGTTGGAAATACTACCCCTTATTGGATCAATAGTAGTTTTGAACAAATGTATTTTTTTACAAAATAATTGCAAGCCATTTCTACGCCATACAAAAGCTTATCAATAATCAGCTAGCGCTTCATTCAACATTTCCTCTCATTTGTTTTTTTTTTGTTATGTTTGATGTTGAAAATTTCATCCTACTGATGATGAATTTTCAACCCTATGATTGAATTTTCATAATATAGTAAATTAAACAGCTTATCTTTAATTTTAACTTTCCGTAGTGTAAGCTATAGTAATCGCAAAAAATCGAAAAATGTTTTTTTGCATATATTCACGTTTCAAAAGTTTTTGAATATTTTGGCATCCCTTTGTGTGTGTATGTTTGTATACAATCTAGCATTAAGTCAAATTAGCACAATAACTCATAGGACTGTTAAGTTCTGATTGCTGTTCAAAAATATTTAAAAAAAGTGCAGACGTTTTTTTCTATAAATTAGAATTTTCTTCTCATAGTTGAATTTTGCATTTGATGGATCTTATTCTATACGGATTTCAATGTTCATGTTTCAAATTTATACCAAAAATTATTCTAATTTTCTATTCTAAAATGTTTGAAAATCTTACCTCGATGCCTCTATGCGTGATGCACCCAGCCCAAATTGAGTCTTGAAGGGATTTGATCGTAAACCCTTGTCTGTATCACAACATAGATACAATGTAGACCACACCTCTGCACCCTTAAGGCAACATTCTCATTGGATGTGGCTTCTAGGCGTGTCGATACAACCCCTATGTAAATAATATCACAGTTAAATATACCTAGGACTTTATGACGAAACTATTTGACATTAAACGAAAAAGTATCCGACGGATAAGTCTAAAAATCTAGTAACCATTTTTTTACCAAATGGTAATTTTTTACCTTTTTTCTGCATCTCTAAAACCGCTGGGTCTCCCTTTGCAAAAATGTAATCAGTACTCAATCACTTCGGCAAAAAAAGTGAAATATTTTTTGAACCGGATGCTTTGTTCTCCTAAAAACTGTATTTATGCATATTTTGCTAAGTAACTCCAAAACGGTTGGGCCTGCCATAGCCAAAAACTACTCAGCACGTGTCTTCCTAAAAATCAAATATTTTTGAAATCATTCAAATTTTTATTTTCAATTTTTTCGCTATTACTATAACTTACCTTACGTGGAAACATATACGGCTTTAATGCAGGACCAAATTTCTATAACATCGACTTGTGGATAATAATATTATTAAAGATTTTAATGTATAATCTTTGGTGTTTTGTCA